TAGCAGCTGTACCAACAAGTTGTAATTTTGTTCTTACAACACTCATGTATGATAAGAAGCGATCTATGTAAGAAACAGCTAAATAAAGCGTTTCGGTTTGTAAGCGATATTCTTCAGCTACTTCAACGAGCCAATCTACAAGTATAGACCTCATAGAGTATGTTATGTCAGGTTGCTTCTTCATGTAACCTGGCTTTGGTCTATGCTGTGTCTGAAAAATTTGATTATCAAAATAATATTTCAGTATGAATTAATTATCAACAAAAAGATTTAATGACTTTATTAATAAATTCCCTTGTGATCAACTGAGAGAACTGTACCTCTGCAACACGTAAATAATTATATATATCAGCCCTATATTCGTCCACATCAAAAAAGTTCATTCTCATTTCCTTCATAGAGTCCCTTCTTCTCTGAAGTTCCTTTTTTGAGGACGACGAATAAGGTATAGATTTCTCCAAGGACATCGGACTGTCACGTTGAAAAACTGTTTCATTTTGCTTTTTTTGATGCACATCTTGAATATTGGCATTGCAAAATATTGGTAAATTTGAGACACTTCTGGGATTTACTTCCAACCTCGGTTTCTCTCTCTCTCTGTCAGATGTCAGATCCTGTTTATCTTTCGCTTCTTTCTTATCTTTCGTGTCCCTCAGGGCAACCAAAGTTTCTTCTTCTAGTTTATCTTTATAAATTTTAAATAGAGCTTCTTCTTTTTTCTCTTCATAGATTTTAAATGGTTCAAACTGCGTAGGGATAACTGCTTTTGTCTTTGGATGCTTCTCATCTTTATAAATTTCCTGCTTTTAAAAAAGGAGGAAAACAAATAAGAGTATGCGATGAGTACAACAAATGCTTTTACTTTCCCCCTTATTAAATGGAAGAAATATTGAACAACCTCCGGAAATGCTTTCTTCGTATCTTTCTTCAAAAGAATTTGCATAATTTATTGGGAAACGAAGGAAAGAAACGATGATTATACGAATGCAAAAAAACGCGGGAGGAAAGATGAAAAAAATGGTGTACGTACCGCTTTAGAATTACGATTGCAGTTGTTGTGAATAACGCTCAAAACTGCACGTTTCGATGGCTGCAGGGTTTGTGTTTGAAGGGGCACAGTGATATTTTCTTTACCACGGCGAATATCCGCAATACGATTTTCTTGATCCTCGTGTACCCGAATTGTGGCCATTATTTGGGTTCGAATTATCTGCCAATGTTTAAAGGTATATAAATATATATATA